ACTGCTGCCATCGACTTGGCTGTGATGAAAGCTAAGACGAACGAAGTGACGAGTGAGTGCCCCCTTCTTATCCCTCATACTCACTTGATTAGATGCCTGATAGGTGTTAGCGCCAGTTAAATTTGGAGCTGAAAAGAGATTCACTGCCAGATGGAAGGTCTGGCACGTGAACACATCCATATCGTCCGTCCGTTGGTCCGTCCATCCACCCATCCATCAATCTATCCTGTATTCATTCGTCCATCAATCCTGTATCCATCCATCTATTTATTTCCCAAATCGTTTACTATTTCTTCGATTCAAAGGCGGAACTTTTTTCAAACACAATCATTCAACTACCCATCGAGAAGCTACTTGCTCGATTTTCTATTCATTTATTCGTTCGTTCATTTTGAAGTGTTATTTTCTATTTATCCGTCAACCCATTCTAAATCTTCATTTTAGCTGCAATCAAATCAACACCCACATCATCCGAACAGTCATCAACAGCAATGGAACTAGTGACAGCAACCACAAAATCGCGTTACCAGTGTCCACACTGCCGTAAGGTGTTTCCACGCTCCGCCAACCTCAACCGCCATTTGCGCACGCACACGGGTGAGCAGCCGTACTGCTGCAGTGAGTGTAATCGGCGCTTCAGCATCTCCTCCAACATGCAGCGCCATGTGCGTAACATTCACCAACTCGAACGACCCTTCGTGTGTCCACACTGTGCTCGTGCCTTCGCCCAACGCACCAATCTGGAACGGCATCTACGTCATCATGCCAACGAAAAGGTCAAGCGGCTGTGATTTGGAGAATTAATTCCGTAGAGGAGGAGTAATTAACTCAATTGCAAATTACTATATATATGTAATTTCTGCTGCTACTTTTTGTCCTTCTTTATGGCCATAAAAGGCAATTTTTTGGTGAAGAGCATACTACTTATAGTAAAAGAAAGTAGGAGGCAAAAGTCAGAGCCTATATCTGCCAACTCAATAGGCTTGTTGATACAAAGATCACGTCCACTTGAAGTACGAAAGAATAGAGAAGTATAAACTTACTTTGTAGATGATGCAAGAGGTGACAATGTGAAAGTATGTTGACTTTTAGCACGGGAAAGAATTAGATGGTACCAGCATGAGGGGAATAGCAGACCATGGGTGCAAGAATGCACAAAAAATTTTGACAGACAGGATTTTTAGACACAGGTTTTTATTACATACAAAAGTATATGCAAAATTACAGAGATGTGTTTTCCTAATAAAAGCCTTATGAGGAGTGGTGACAGAGGGTATACTGAGTTCATCGGTCACCGCGTGTATCCACTTGGTTATTTAGGCGCGTTCCATTGCGAGCTTATTTCATTTTCTAAAAGCTCTTTGCAGTTATTAACGCTAAATGAATCTATCTAGTGCATTGCTTTACAAAGTAGCTTCGCCAGTCTGACAAGTGGGTAAATAGATTTGAGGCAGTTTACCATATTGATGTACCTCGTCAATGCATCATCTTGGAGAGATCTGTGAGATAAATGATAGTGTTGACATTTATGGACAATAAACCATAAAAATATGTGTTAGTGAATCAGTAGAGTAGTCTTCCTCAAGCTCTCTCTATTTCTTCTCAAAAGTTATCAGTTAAAGGAGAGGCATTTAATCCGTACTTGTTTGTCTCGGTCAGATTTCGTGATGCTGATTATTTAGCCTTTGAAGGAGATGTGACTTCAGAGGTGGTTGAGGCAAATCAATTCCTTTGGGAAGACTGCTACATACCTAATAAGAATGACAAATTTCCTGTTAGAGTGTCAAAAAGTCAGAATTATTAGTAAGTGGTGATATGATGCCTCCTTAATGTATACATAACCTGGAAAGAGAGAGGAGTGGCGGAAACTAGGGGCAGTAAGTCAAACCTACATGTTTGCTTTGTGTGTGGATGAGATCGAGTGTGGTGATCGCCAGACAGATTTGTTCACCATAATTTACTTGCACAAGGCTGAACAACTCTGACGGAGGCCTGTCCGATCCAACTCCGACGTGTCCAAGAAACAAGGCAAGGCAAGGGTGGACCTTCTCCACACCTTACCTGTAGGATGACCTAACAGAGCACTTTAGATCAAAAAGGATATTTTTGCCTCTTCTCACTCCTTTGTATTCCCTTGGTGATACTTCTCCAAGTGACAGATATCGCCTTCCCTTGAAGATGTCTTCAGGTGACCTACTTGTGACGAACCCACCACCGTATTCACAAAGAGCGAAGTCTCCGGTTTAGGCGGAACGCCTCAAATCTTTGATTCACTCTGCTGCAGATGTGCTCAACGAGAAGTAATAAACCTTATATACTGAAGTTTGGGCAGTTTAATGTTGGAAAAAGGGTCTGGAAGAAGTATAGGATAGAACTCTGGAAAAAATCAACAAAAATCCATGTCGTTTTTTTTTTTTTTAAATGAAATACCATTGGAATATATTTTTGGAATTTGAAGTAGGACTTTGGAGCCAACCACTTTCCCACATAAAAAATTTGCCAGCTTAAACCTGAATTGTAGTTCCCCCTCAACTGCGGTCTCGCTTGATTAGCCACAACTAAATACCCCCACTGGTGGATGGAGCTGAGAACCCGAAAATGGATTAACAGATGGATGGATATTTTTGCCCTGTGCCAGGTGTATTTGGCAAGTGATGTCAAAACTGGGTTGTTGTAGTGATTTTATCAGCTTTTTGCGCAGTTCTAGAGACCCCTCACACCACCTCCGGTGACATCCAGGCCCACCCTAAGGCGACCCCAAAACTGGTCGAATTCCAAAGTCCAAAGCTGCACCATCGAAGCGGCCTTTGAAGATGACTGCGCTGTGCCTGTTCACTGGCCATGAATCAATGGCCACATCGCCTACCCTTTGATGGTATTCAGCTCGAGGGACTGATGCTCCATCTTTTTTCTTTCATGAGGTAAATGATTTAGGTGTCCACAGTAGACAAGGATACCGGCAATTAGTTCTGACGAATTCACACCCAGCTCGACATGTGTTTGAGCCCATTGTCAGTGTTCAACATTTTGATCTGGGTGCATACTAAGGTCAAAAAATCTACTCCAAAACGGCGTTTTTAAGGCAATTGGGCCATGTGAGCATTTACTGGTTAGAAATTTTGCAATTTTTAGTTATATTAGGCCGGAAATTTCGTGATCTTTTACATGAAAAGAAAAACTACAAACTTTTAAAGTTTTTAATATCAGAAGTGGCAGCGGAACATTGCTATTACAAATTTTCCTAGTATCAAAGATGCACTTGCTACTTATTTGAATTCAAGGTCAGAAATCTTACATATTCAAGGTTAAAAACGCCCGTTAGAAAGCATAGCTTTACACTTAAACAAGTAGCAGGAGTATTTTCTTAGAATTTGCGTACACTAGATATCTCAGACATCTTGCTTGCTTGGCGCTTTAACCCACTGTCTGAAATAATTTTACCCCAATTTGTTGCTTATAATCAACCAAAAAGGGACAAAAATATACAAAAAACCTTTAAAATGATTGATCATAGAAAAATCCTTCTAATTTTTTCGAGATACCGATTTGATAAAGTAAATAGTTTGGTGTAATACCCATTTGCTTAAATGCACGTTTGGGGTGACGAGGTTAGAATACAACAACCACGTGGATGGAAGGTCTTCACCGAGGCTTGGGGGAGGAGGCAAAAACTGGTCTTTTCCCCCATTAAAACTTCAACTCAAGGATCAGGAATTGGAGGTGGACGAA